GGATTAGTAGTATATGTCTTTTCGGATATGACGCATTTCACTTCTGCGCATGCGCAGCTTTTACAATGCGTCATATCCGAAAAGACACAACTGTTAAAATGTATTATAACAGACTCCCAAAACTGTTAAAAATGTATTATAACACACTTCCCAAACTGTTAAAAATGTATTATAACACACTCCCCCCAAACTGTATTATAAATTACCAAAACCACAGACAAGAATCACTATAATAATACAGTATAAAATAACCGCATTAAAAATGTCTTTAATTTTAAAACATAATTTTGGCCAATTTTGTCTCAAACAACAAATCCCTCATTTCCTCAGAAGCGCAAGCTCTTGGTTCTGTGGCAAAAGCAGTAAATATAAGCGATGCAGTGAAAAAATCTGACGAACTTAAAGATCTGCAGCTAATAAGAGAACTAAGAAACAAGAGACTAGAACGACAAGCCCTAGAGAAACAAGGAAAAGGGTTTAAAATCATTGGATAAAAATGGCAAGCAAAAATTACAGATTGGATCCAATCTTTCAATTGTATGATCCGATTCAATATTCGTTCAACAAGAAGAAAGAGGATTACGTAATCATCTCACCATCGGTAGGGACAAAGACCCAAATAAACGACGGAGGAAGAGTTACCTTTGAAATTAATTCGTTGTCCAATTGGTTGCTGCTTTCCGATGCCCATTTCCGATGCGATTTCAAAATCAAAGACGCCACTCAGAATCGAATTCCACAAACCAATACGACTTTAGAAAACAACTTCTTTCCGTCTTTATTCAGCGAAATGGTTTTGGAAGCTGGTTCAAATCCGATAGAGACCATAAAACACCCCGGCGAGTTTGACACAATGTTGAAAACGGTTCTCTATCCCAAAAACTACGATTCAGTTTCGGGATGGATTCCCGATGTCGGTGACGGAGAAGTTTTAAAAGAACCGGTCAGAACTATAGCAAATGACGCAGACCTTGATAGGACACTGGAAAGAGTGACTCGCGGAGTAAATCACGGATTTGAAAAACTAGCGCTTCAATACAACAACGCTGTCGAGAACAACAGATGGGGTAATTACGTAAATTGGAAGTTGTATCCTTTATTTGGTCTTTTGGAACACAGAAAGGTTTCCATAGGTTTACCGTATAAAATTCATTTGCAAAGAGAAATCAACGACAACAAGATATTCTTTGGTGAAAACAACTCTGACGCAAAATTGGAAATAACGAATATCCAACTTTACATACCGGTAATCACTCCTTCCGTAGAAGTGGAAACGAGGATATTCAACTCTTTAACCAAAGACATCGAAATTGCTTTTCTTCGTCGTAACACGGTAGGTAGCATGACTTTAACGGGAGAATCCACCACGTGGCCAATCACCAACACCGTCAAACCAGTGAGGTATCTAATGGTTGGTTTCAAAAATTTGCCAGACTCTCAGACAAACAACAACAACATTTCAGAGG